AGGAGGGTATGTGCACAGAATGTTGCTGTGTAAAGACTGAGCGGTTAAAACGCTGCAACAGTGCATCACGTAGCAAAAATACACATCCACACAAACAATGGTGGTCAACATTCATCGTGACCTGGTACATCGAAATCAGGAATAAGTCGAAAAATGACCTTTTCAGACCATGTACATGGTCTGAAAGAGAATTTCATAAGCTTTCAAGTGGTACATATTACAAGTGTGTAGATGGTAACCTTTCATACGTACACTTCCAAAATATACGGAAACCTCTAAATCGATTTTTTCAACATTTGCCCACATCCCCACTTTACTCGGCCATTAAGAAAAAGGCCTCAGCGATTTATGCCTGATTTCGATGTAACAGGTCACAATTGTTGTCTCTGACAGCTCCTCTTTACTATTTTTAAATGAACGGCCACCAATATGGCCAAGTCTCCGGACCATGTCTATACACCTGTCTACAATGTAAATGTCTTTCTGACAGCCGAATCAGGAACCCAATATGTCTACTAAACAACGTGTTGTTTAACGAAGAGGCATAAACTTGTTGACCATTCAAAACCAGACTTCAAAGACAAGCTGGTCATCGGAAAACCAAGAACACTCTAGACTGTATCAACGGGGACTTGCATCTTTCATTATACAAGGACTCACTCTGTGAGAATGTTACCAGTTGCTGACTATTTGCACTTTTCACAGGCCGTGCATCGTGGATGAAAATCCCGGGGCTTAGGGGGTGGGGGACACATCTCCCCAATGTTTGATGGGGGGGGCAGCAAGGGCTGTTGAATCATACCCTCTTTTTGTGTTGAGAGATTGGGGGAATTGGGGGATTTTTTTCGGACTGACGCAACAAGCACAATGTATTCATTATCACTTAGGGAGAATAATCCAAACCACCCATTGATATGCCATGCTGATGTAAGATTCTGCGTAAAATACATGTGGCTCCGCATTGTGAACATCTCTGGAATATCATCATTGCGTCGCCTTCCCCTTCAACTGTTCAAATTTTTAGCTTGGCAAGTTATCCCCAACCCCACCCCCATTATCTTTCCTGCCACAAATTTGCGCCACTGCAGTTCATTTTCGGGTCGGTCCATTTTCGATTTATGTGAATAAGCAGCTTTAGCTACGATAAAGCTAGTGAGTGCGCTTGTTTGTGTGTGTGTGCTGCCAACGAAGTAGAAGAGTTCGCGGACCAGCCTACATCGATTTCAAACACGGGGCAGAAGAAGGAGCAATTTCCTTATGTCGGCTACGTCTGTCACTTACAAACGTTTACTCACGTCTGTCACAAGAAATTTAGTGTCTGGTGTGTTAAATTAACATATACTTTGAACATGCCGTGTTTGGTATTAAAACCACTTGCTGCTGGGGGCTGGAGCCCGGTTTCGGGCACGTATTCTTCATAGGCGTAGCCGGGGTCTCGGAAATCGGACAAAGGCAACTGGGCCTTGTAACAAAGACCATACTCGTAACAAAGACCAGGCTGCTGGGAATTACCAACATTTCTTCACTGTCAATAGCGGAGAAAACCCAGGATTTTTTTTGAAACAGTATACCACGGTTTGGGGCATTCACTGCGAGCGGATTGCCACCAGGGACAGAAGCCCTACACCATCGCAGCGCTGAGCCACACAGTACTACTGCACGCTAATCTGGCCTCTGTTGAATAGAGGTCAGCAGCTCACTGTGCCAGTTTTGTGAACAAAAGAAAATTACGTAACACCGCACAATCTGGGCTCTTTTCACAAGGCAGTAGGCCTGGCTGAACTGCTCCAGCGTCAATAGATGTTGTCTGTCAGATTGGAGTAGTACCAGACAGTTGTCGTGTGGTTGTAAGTGTCCAGTAAATGAAGATATGCTTTTTTAAAAGATTTTGAATACAGACAAGAATGAAAACGATCCTGTCCCAACAGTATCAGCATTCATAAATGCCCCCGGCTCGGTGTGGATAATTATCAAAACAGGGTCAATTCCGCCAACCTCACGGATTTGAAAACAAGATTTTTTAAAAGTGTGAATGGTACAATTATATCCAGCCACTTCACGATATGCATATGAATTACATTGTCAAACCAATACTAAAATAGAGATTACCATTAGGTGGACCCTTAAAACAAATGATAGGCATTGAAATTAACAATACAAAGTACACAAAATTAGTACTCCTTCTGACAGCGAATTACGACGAAAAAGTGCACAGGTATCCTTTCCATTGGAAACGAGGAGCGAAAAATAAAGTAACCCTTGTAAACTCTGCTGGAGAGCGACAGATCTACGTGCGGTGGGGAGGGAGTGTCGAGCAATACTTCTGGCGGCTGTGTGGGCCAAGTTCAGAAAGTAAAGATTAAACGTGATCACTGAGTTCTGCTCTTTGGTGCACATTCGACTGCGCCTGTTGGTATTGCAACATGGATATCTTCGCAGTGATTTTAGCTGTGGTGGTGGTGCTAGCGTCGGCTTACGTAGCGGCTAATCTCGCCTCGCCAGACAGGGTACCACTTCACGACGTGTACGCTGTTCCTGGGCGTTGGTACTTGCTAAAATACGTCACAGCAAAATGGCTGCTGTGGTGGAGCCGAGAAAGGAAATGTACCATCAAAAAGAGGACGATGAACTACCACATGATGCAAGATAAGACCAAGGACAACGGTGAGATGGAATTTTACAATGGAACAGAGAAGGTGAGCTGAAGATCTGCATTACGCCTTTCGATTTCATTTGGTAAAATCGAGAATCCATACGTAATCCAACTTCACTCTTATCTTTCGAATATTATTTTGTACTGATAGGGATCGATGTCTTATCGTATTATATCCAACCTCCTAAATGTGAAATTCAATTGTTCTTCAAGTTTCGATTGCGTTAAGAACACTTTAAGAAATATCAGGTTCGCTCAAAACTAGCCTTTCGGGTACAAGACGCTACAATTCAAAGACTGTGTTAAGCCCAAAGTTCAATTCTTCCTTGCTATCATTTGGTAAACATTTTTGAATACTGAAAGTATTTACAGCTTGATGGATAGTGTTTAGACATAGGAAAACTTAACTATAGAAGGACAGCGCAAGTCTTGTCAGGGATTTTTTTGGGGTACTCATTTCCCCCTATCCTCACAGAAAACGCGGAACAGAACCATATATAAGCATGGGAAGTCAAAGTTTCTGGTGAAGAGCCCCCATGTTTACCAAACTAACGTCAGCAACCTTTCCATGTTTTGGTTTTCAGGGCCAGAACTGCCTTTACATCAGTGGCGCAAGCAACGGCGGTACGGCCCGACTAACGGTCCGGGTGTCTGTTCAGCCCGACGACCGGCGTGACGTCTGGTTCCTCCTGCGGCTACCGGACGTGGGCGACCTAGTCTTGCCTGGCCATCCCGACTGCGTCGCAGAGAACGTTCGGCCGGGGGAAGGATTTAGCGGGGCGGGACTCTGCTGTACGCCCATTGAGCCCTTGCAGATTTGGAGGATTTTATTCAACGGACTTTGCAGGTAGGCCGATGCTTTGGTGTACTATATAGTAAACAGTATAGAGTGCCACGAGGCATGATCCTTACTCTGTCGTTAACAAAGAAAAAAAATCTTTTATGATTTTTATTCTGTTGCTGAGTTGATTACTATCTTTCAAGTATGAATTCAGTAAATCTTTCCTCGGTATTTGGTACATTTATTTCCATGCTAAATTGTCAGACTGTAGACAGCTGTGTAACTACATACACTAGCTATTACGTCTGTAAACTAAACACTTGTTTTTTCATCATCTCTTATGTATCTCGTGGGTTCGTCTGCGACCCTTTGGCCACAAGTGTACTTCTTGTTCACCTTTTTGCTTTGTCTGAATAACAACTCTTGTGTTGGACCTGAATGGGGTGACTCATATTAGTTTGTGCATTTCATGTTTCGTGACATGGCTATGGATTGATCTAATTTCTGCAGCTTTGGAAGCCGCTATGCATCCTACTTTTCATATGCACTGTTTAAAAATTCAGCATTTACACCAAAACGGTCGAATTATGTTTCTGTTGAGTCTATAAAAGACCAACACTTCACATCGAGATAAATGAAACAATCGCTTTCGGAGACATAGACCTTTTATTGACCTTGCTATAGTGAAAACTTGCAGTGTAGGATATGTCAAGAAACGTGAAGCCATTTGCGTCCATCAATCTCTCCGGGCGTGCATGTCGATAACAATTGACAGATCTAGCTTTTTGAAAATCATCTTTATACTGTGGCAAAGTTAACGATATCTGTCCCTGTAGGGTGTACGATCATAAGATTGTTAGAAAGACTGATTTATTTTAATCACTCTGACTTCTTTTGTTTTAGAGTTGATGCACAGAAGCAAAATGCTATGAGTAGCAAAAAGAATCGTTATCCAACATTGTTTCCCCTTCCAGGGTTGGTATCTCGAATGAATGGAATGAAGAGGACAAAAGACCCATCGTTCATCTACGCTGTAGTCTGTTGTACGTATGAACCAGGAAGATAAGGCATAGGCATATGCAGATGTCCCCAAAGAAGAGTCAAAAACTTTGCCATATTGTGATCATTGTACATACTAAAAGCACATAATTTGCAGACGGGTTTTCTGCGGTAGTCGTGTCCCATATAGAGACTGGATGGATAGTGGTTTAAACTGAAATGCACTGTCAAAAGAATGATTACCCTCCTCTAAATTTTGTAATGACGAGATAATTGTAACGGTTCAAAATTGGCACCGGTACAATTTGAAATAAGATTTACCCCGCCTTCTCTCAGATTTGCTGATCCAGCTCTTTTTAAAGGCTCGCCATGGAAATGGATTTTTTTCATATGATTTACAAAGGGAGGTAACGCCTTTCCAGTGAACAAGTTAGAAGGTTACAACGCAGCAATACTATAATGAAAATGTTTGTTTAATCGGTCGAAAAAATAGTGATAGTTCGCTTGATACTAATTGACTACAAACAAAGGCTTACAAAGTGACTAGGAACAAAGGTTTCTTGTTCCATTACTCGGAAAATAATGTGGTTTATCCCACGTCCCGCATAAACGGGCACTCTCCCCAAACTGGGTCAAATTCACTATGATAAAGGCCATTCCTACAAAACATTCTATGATTTTGGCGCTGACGCCAATCTCGGACTTGCTGCTGATGCCGTTGCCAGAGAAAAATGGACGGCTCCG